TGGGAAGTGTGGTGGGGGTGGGGGGGGGGGGGGGGGGGGTGGGCGCTTCCCACCTGCCCTCGCTGAATCGGTGGTTTCCAGCCTGGTTTTGCTCTGGTTTTGCTAGTGCTGTCACTGCTCCATTGCCACCGATTCTCAGCTGGGAATGGAGGTGGATGAAGTGGCTTAAAGTTTTCTTCTGATTTTGCTGTTCTCCAGGCTCGGGTGATGGCCACGATTGGGGTCACGCGGGGCCTGGGAGACCATGACCTCAAGGTGTTCAGCTCCAACATCCACATCAAGCCTTTCCTGTCCTGCTTCCCAGAGGTGAGCCTGGCTGCCAGCTGCTCCGTGCCCAGGGGTTCCTGCAACAGCTGGAGCTGGTCGGGGTGACCAGATCCGTGGTGTGCCCAGTGCAGCGGGAGCCTTCTCTGCCCCTCACCCTCATGTCTTGTCCCGCTGCTTGCCAGGTCAGGGTTTACGACCTCACGCAGTATGAGCACTGCCCTGATGATGTCCTGGTCTTGGGCACCGATGGGCTCTGGGATGTCACCAATGACAAGGAGGTGGCTGGCGTGGTGATGGAGGTGCTGACAAGCTACGAGCCCAATGACCCGTGCAGGTGAGCTGCGAGTGGGCAGCAGGATGAGTGTGTCCTGCTCTCTAACACCCTCCCTTGGCCTTGCTCCTTGGAGCAATGTCATGGCCATGTGTCCTTCTGGCCTCGGGGCTGTTGCTGTTGCTCCGCAGCATGCAATGCTTCACTGGATGTGCATATCTGAGCTCAGATCTCTCCTCTCCAAGGGACCCTTTCCTGCACCTTTAGCTCCTCCAGCTTCTCCCTTGCTAGGGACTGCAGGGTGCTGCATCAGGGAGTCTGCAGGGTCTGGGGTCACTGCTGAGCTGCACTGTGCTGTGCCCCCCAGGTACACCATGGTGGCCCAGGAGCTGGTGGTGCGGTCCAGGGGGGTGCTGAAGGAGCGGGGCTGGCGGCTGGCCAACGACAAGCTGGGCTCTGGCGATGATATCTCTGTCTTTGTGATCCCCCTGGGTGGCCCGGGCAACTACACGTGATGCCCGATGACCCCGGGGCAGTGGGGCTCACCTTGCCTGGACAGAGGTGAGCACGACACTGGTGCTGCCTCGGGGCCACCTCTCCCCAAGCACTTGTTTCCTGAGCCAACTGTGAGAAGAGTAGGAAACCTGGAGCCTCTGTCTGTGCCCCTGCCCAGAGCATCCCCCTCCACCTGCTGCATCCCAGCCCCAGGTGGTGTTGGAAAGGTTTTGGACAGAGAGCAGGGACTGGGGTCGAGGGATGTTTTTCATGCTGCCACTTTCTTGATTGCTGTGAAAAGCCTAAAGGCTCCCCGGCTGCTCAGTGCGTCCTTTGCACCTCGCCCTGGGCCTGGGTGCACTGGTTCCAGCAGTGTGCAATGGCCATTGGGCTGGTGGGGCACTCGTACCTGGAGAAGTGGGTGCCTGCTGCTGCAATCATCTCCTTTCCCCCTGCCCTGTGACACTTGCACCAGTGACACTGAAGCTGCTGTTGGGGCTGGGCACTGGGGCTAGGACGGGCTGTGGCTTGAGGTGAAGCCCTGCCAGCAGCTGGGCAACACTCAGCCTGGCCGAAGTCCAGTTGTGGGTAGTGTGGTGGTGGGTGAGCTTTGTGCTTGCCCTCTTCAGCCCCTCACGCCTTTGTCCCAGCCATGTACCTTGTCTTAGTCTCCAGTTTGGGAGCATGGGACAGTGCTCGATCACTGTAGTGTACTGAGAGCCCCAGGGAAGGAATGAGCTATTGCACTTGCACTGGCTGTGCCACAGGTTCTGCCCCCACCCCTCTTCATGCCTTGGATCACTGCTGTGTTTCTGGAGCCAATTATTTATTATTAACTGGAGAGCTGAGCTGGAAAATGTCTAAATCCTTTCTTGGTGTGGGGAGTCTGTATGAATATATGTCTATATTTTTGAGTGGTTCTAAGTTGGCCACTGCTGAGCAGCAGCTGCACACAGAGCAGCCCTATTCAGCCAAGCTTAACAGCTTAAATGTGCTGCATGGATCTGCTTAGCTGAGGGCTGGAAACCCACAATAAAAGCAGCTTGGTTGTGACTGGGGGGAGGAAGACAACTCCCTCCTTTTTCTTAATAATCTGGAAGCTGGTGCCAAGCAGAGCTGTAGCAGCAGTTGATCTCTGCACGGGATGTTATTTTGCATCATACATACCTCTGACCTGGAGGATGTGCTTCGTGGGCCTCTGCAGAGTGTTGTATCCTCCCAAAATATGAGGGGTGGTCCCATCCTGGTAGTGTGGTGATGGGAGAGCTGGGCCACGCTCCCTTGTTTCGGAAAGGCTCTGTGGCACCAGTAGTTTCTGTCCTGCTGTTGCTGGGTGCAGCCAGCTCTTGTCAAGTGTCACCTCTAGTGAATGCTGTTTGTCTCTTGTAATTAGCAAGATGTAAATAAACTGGGTGCACTTAATGGGAAGTGAAAGTTATCCAGCAAGATTTTAACCTATTGACATCTTCTGTGCTGAAGGGAGCAGCGAGTGACACTGGGGCCGGGAGCCTGTCCTTGTGTAGCACTGTGTGTTTAAATAAAGGTTTTGCCACTTGCAATCCCACTTCAAAGTCTTTCTTGCAGAGCTCCTGTGAAGAAGACTTACCTAAAAGCCAATTAACTCTGATTAATTTATGTAGGCAGGCTTGGTAGCAGAGGCCCAGGCAGATCCATGTGACCTGCTGTCCCTCTGCCCTTGGCCCTGGCCAGACCCCATGGAGTATGCCTCCCTCGCCCATGGAGAGTGGGAACTGCTGCTGGTCTCTGCATGGTGCTGCCTGGGGGTCAGTGGTGGTGGCCAGCCTGGTGGGGAAGGGTTGCAGCGTGGGTCAATAACCCAAAACAGGACCTGGCTGGTGAGCGCTGCACTGGGCTTGGGTGAGGACTGAAAACCAGCAGGTGCCAGCCTGGCCCCCCTCGGCTGCTCCCTGCTGCAGGCAGCACATGGACACAGACAGGGAGCGGAGGGGAGGAAAGCTGATGGTTTTCCTGCCTGTGGGGTCCTTTCTTCAGGGAGTGGGGTGGGCTTGTGGATGGAGGGACAGCCCTGCAGGTTGTGGCTCCTGGGGGAGCTCCCAGGAACTTGACTGTGCCCAAGAGGCAGATCCCTCTCGGGGAGTTCAGGTGTTCCAGCACCAGCTACCGCCTGCTTCTAGGGTGGGCTGCCTGCTGGAAGCATCCCTGCTGTCCCATGTCCCCCTGACTGCCACCCGGTACTCCTGGTGCTCTCAATGCTCATACACGTTTTCCTCACACCCCCAGCTGCCCCACACTTGCTTGCACAGCCCTATTGCCCTGGCACGATGCTTTTCGTGCTGATGCCTGAGAACTGGCTCTGCTTTTCCAGGTCACTGCCTGGGAGCTGCTGGGTAAAGCAAGAAGGCAGAGGCTGCATTTAAAGCTTCCTCTGTGGTCCCCTTTTTTGCTACGGAAACATTTCCTTTGGAACCAGCTCCTGGCCTGGGGCTTGATAAATTAAGAAAAATTGTCTCCAAGCCCTTAAAATAGCAGCAGTTTATGAGCCTGGGTCTGGGCCAGGACCCTGGGGCTGCCTTTCCCTGGCTGAGCGACAGGGACTCAGCCCTGCAGTGGGGGGGAGCAGCCACCGGGTCCTCCCCTGCCAGCAGCCCGCAGTGGGCAAGGAGAGCCGAAGCCCCCCTCCCGCGGCACTGGGGTCAGCTCGGTGACACATCACAGCCCCCTGCGCCTCTGCCGGTGCCCCTGCGGAGGGGACTCGAGGTCCTGGGGACGGGGCATGTCCCTCACGCCCCCGGTGGGAAACGGGGCTTTCCTCAAGGGGCGAGCAGCCCACCGGGCAGCGGGCTGGAGGGGGGGGTTCGGCCGCTGGCCCCCGCCGGGGTCTGCCTTCCCCGGCAGAGCTCGCTTCTTGCTAGCGGTGGCTCTTGTCGCTGCCACAAATAACGCTCACGGGGGGGGGGAAGGCGTCCCCTCGAGAGGTGCTCCGGTGCGGGAGGATCCCCGGTGAGGGGCCAACCACGGGGTGGGCTTTGCTAGTGGTCCTACCTGGGAGGGGGGTGTGCTGGGAGCAGCGGGTGCTCTGGGAAGCCGAGCGCCTGGATCGCCCCCTCTCCCTACCCGGCGTCAGGAACCGTAAACCGGGAAAACCCCCTCGGGGGAAGCCCAGGCTGCCCCAGCGCCTCCCTGCCCGGCCGGGCTGCGACCAGCCCGGGGACGGCGTCCGCGGGGACGGAGCGGCAGGTCCTGGGTGACCCCGGAGCCGGGA